TATCTGCACGTGCAGTTGGCCGGGAAAGGATGCCTGTGTGCATCCGTCGTTTGGGCAGCGAACACCGCTAGCGTGCTCACGATAAACAGTGTATTTTCCATCGCACTCTCTAGGCGTCGATTGCAGAGTGAAGAGAGGCAATTATTTAGGAGATGAAAGTAATTATGCTGCCACAGTGTCCTTTTTTTATAGCTAGAAAGCCAATGCCGTGATTGAGCTCTTCAGAAACATACGTCACGCAGTTGGGCAGGTCCGTGGGCGCGAACGGGAATTGCTACGTGCGTATCATCAATACACGAGCACACGGTTTCCTGCTCGTTAAAGACAACTGAGTTGGTGCTTTCAGATGCAGGAGACATCTGGAAACGAGGAAAAACTAGTGCATAAACCAACACGTTTAGCGGCCGAACTGCGAAATAGGTAATGATGCGAGAGAAAGGAGGATTGACGTATATATAGCTAGAGCGGAAAACCCTGTGTCAGACTAATTATGGCATAGTAGTGTGATGTGAACCTCCCGATAATTTTGATCACGGATTTTCAGTTCAGCTTTGGTTACGACATCCAGATATATTATTTGCAGGTACGTAGCTAGTAAGTTGATACTTTCATTGTGCGTATATTATAGCTATACACACATACTTTCCGTAAAACATAACCGGTCGCGGTCCGCCGCGGCGGGGCTATAAAACGGCCGCGCGACGACCTCAGATACATCAATCCACTGACGATCCAACCTACAACGAAAAAACGGGGGAAATGAACAATTCAGTGGCTGAAAGCTGCATAACCCTCTGCATATTGCTCCTAGCAGCATCTACTCTTCTGCAAATGGCAGAATCAAAGAAGAGGCATCCGTTGCATTTTTCTGACAACTACACTTGCTCGTACAATAGAATTTGAAGAGCATTATCCAAGATTTGAAGACATGAACTTTGTTGGAAACTGTGTGCCACAAATCCAAGCCAAGTAAGACTCTTACCTTACCCCTTATAGCTACCACCCATACATAATTATTAGCCCTGTCAAAGTAATGCTCATTCATGCACGTGTTTTATGCTCTGTTCTCCTTTTTCCTCTACAGTCAGAGAGTTTGCTACAGAACAAAAGTGAGGTAATGCACACACGAGGGCCTTACTACAGCTGTCAACTCTTCCCCATAAACGACTATTTCAAGCTCGGAAACCTGCCAACCACGGGAGGAAACCGGAGCTCAGTGTTCATAGACTCACTCAACAACACTGAATCTAATAGTCTGTGTTTCTACAACGTCTTGGTGACTGAGAACAGCTCTGGGAACTGCTCGGGGATGTCACTGGTTCATGCCAGTGACCATCCAGAGAGCTCACACGTCGATCGTTTGGAAGACGCCAATTCAAGTGGTAATTCGACAAACAGTCCACCTTGTGGAAGCTACGTGAGAGTATCATACACTCGAGTAGGCAGACAGCAGTACCACACACTCTGCAGGGAAGAACTGGCACATCTGAATCTAACACTACCAGATGTGAAAGCACAATGTCTAGAAAATCTGTAAATTATGTTTTCATTTCATAAGGTCATTCACTTATTTTCGAATCATTCATTATCCACAATAAAACATTCCTGTATCATCATTTGCTTTCGTAGTAAAGTAGCATACAGTGTTTTTTGTCAACCAACTATTATCAAAAGGAAGAAAGACATCTTGCACGTGAATTAAAAAGCCAGTTGAAGGGCTGTAAAATTGTGACGAAGCACAATGAGTGAGCCGAAACAGTGTGAGATATACTCTCCAACGTAATGAGGTGAAGGTAGGGAAATGCTCCGTTAGGTAATGTCAGAACTTAACAGAGAACTGAACATCTCATTGTGTCATATCCTGTCTGCATGCTCCTGGTACACACTGTAACTAGGATTCTCAAGTGGCACTTTACAGTGATCTTGTATCCTGAATTCTTCGGTCTTTTTATGGAAGTAGCTGTTTGGTATAGTCCCTGGACTGTGATCAGTACTGCACTTCTGACATCCGATTATAAATAACTTCCACTTCCTACTGTGGGTTCTCAAGGATGTGGTGTGCATGTCTATTACTTAATCCTACCTCAACGGTTATCTGTTGACAAACAACACAGTACACTTTATACAAATGAACAGGAGAAGACTACGACCACTTGTTATGGGTAGAGATGTGGTGGTCAGTAAATTTTGTGATATCCCAGTCTGTGTAATGATAATACAGCAGCAGTAACTCACAAAGCCGATCAAAGCTGGTGAATTGCTTTGGCACATTTACAATCTCGGCCAACAGCTGGCGGTCAGGCTAAGCCCCCGAAGCTTGATACATAGCTATAATGCTATAGATATGTTTTGGGAGTGGCAGCAAGAATAACTTGGCACAGCCGACGGAAAAGAGTTCGTCTTCCCCTTGCTCCGGAGCTGGCGACCGTCATTGGTGAGGCTGTAGTAATTGGAAGTGAGGGACGGTGGATAAAAGGAACTTCCCTAAACTCGATAATGATTTTGACACTGAAACACAATTTCCTTGATTTCCTACCATGAAAATAACTTCCTGTGGATGCGTGGTATTGTGTGATTGTGTTTGTACATAATATTATGGCTATCCCTGAACGATCCCTTGCCTAGGACCTTCCCTCCCATTTCATCTCAATCCTAAAATGGAGTAACAGAAGTTGCCATTAGTGATGCACATGTCCATGAATAATTCCTCAACGCTTTGATCAATGATGTCATACTTAGCTTCCCACTGAATTATTCTGTGCTATATAATGCTTTGAGGACCAGAAGTTGCTGTTATTATACAGATGATGTCTATGAGGTAATGTAGTGTCTTTAGAATGTTTAGTCGCACTATGCATGAATTTCATTATCAGATGGTATAAATACACTTTAGGTCATGTTCAAGATAAAATGTACAACAATTCAATAGTATGAATATGCGAATGTGCATTACACACATACTTGTGGGTGCAGCAATGGTAAAACGACTGCCACCTGCGCTTCAGCATGTTTTCCCCCGCTGATACTCAAAGGTAAGTTAGAGACAGTTATATCACTGGTAGAACCTGGGTGCCATCCAGGATAAGTTATACTGAGCGCTGTTGAAATAAGTATTATGTTCAGTTAACGTCTAATTATGACCATCTTCGTCTGTCTTTTGCTCTTCGCTATATAGACATTCCGCGGGATTCGGGCAAACAGTGCGGGCCGAGACCGACGTCTGGCCGCCGACGGCACAATCCGAAATATTGTTGTGGGGTCGGCCTTCAAAAATTACTAGAGGACTGCCTGTTTGGCGAGCGAGCGTCAGAAGTTCGCGCCCATCATTTTAACCGCGGTGCGTGCAGTTATTTCGCGCGTGATTAGCGCGTTAGGGACGGTCAGTCACGGCGCCCCATATAGCAGTAGAATAATATTCTTGTAGGTATCGCCGGATAGAAAATGGCACATCCGCCCGTTGAGACCACTAGGTAGGCTCGCTTAGCTCGCCAATTAACCAACCAAAAAATTTGACACCATTTGATTAAGGTGATGCGCCCATGAGTGATGGCACATGGAAACTTAATTTTTAGAGAAAGGGGACCAATTCACTTCTATATCACTGTTTGCTGAATTCTTCCTTTGTACTTTTTGAAGGGAACTGTAGTGCAGTCGAAACACTTCACTGAAGATTAATTTTCGACTAGTGTAGTAACTGTGTGGATAGAAAATTCTGTCGTGACAGAGAGTAGGGTTGCAGAGGAGAGTATAGACCAAGTAGCTACAGCTAAACCAGTGTAAGCAAGCGGGCTCAATGGGAGCTTAGCTCTCTGGTACACCTCAACAACCCGCAAACCAGCTTTTTAGGAGATAAGCAAATCATCATCATCAAGTCTTTTGCTTTTTTACTAACTATTAATGGTGTTAAACCTTATTCATACCTTTCGGCTTCAAGCCATAGCTAAACATCCTAGGTGTTTGGTAAAAATTTCTACCATCAACTCTTTCTTTCATCTTAGAGTGAAAAAATTCTCAATTTAAACGAGCTACCGTGACACCTTCTTGGTCATTAATTGAATAGTTGCTGCCAAAGAGTCATTGTGATAGCTATACATGTTGATTTGCTAACAGTGATGGCACCAATAGCTAATTAATAGTAGGTGAAGGCTGAAAAATTCTTATGCGATTCCTCCCAGGTAGTGTGTGCTATATACAATTATGTGACACCTGGACTCGGCGGCCACAACTGTACAAGTCCTGTTAGACTTCTTGTCTGTGTTTATATAATGGGGTAGCCTCACTGACCATGTTCACATACCATTGCTGTAATTAGGTAGAACGACACATAGTGCCGTGACTATAAATTGGGTGTGTATAGGAGTTAGAATCAACATTCGGCATAAGATTTCTGTCAAGAGTGAAGCTCCGCCGGTCGAGACGGCGGAAAGCGGCTGCGGAGGAATTGCGCCGGCTGGTGTGCCGGGCGCCGTTCGCTACATATAGAACAGAGCTTGCTTGCAGCATGTGAGAGGTCCTGACAACATGGTCAGTTACTTTAAACAAACTCGGTTGACTAGGAAACTGTAGGACATGTGGATTTCTACAAAGTCATCAGTTACATGAAACAGCAATAAATTCCTAAGATAACAGAGTTCATTGGGTATACACTATGGTTTGTGTTGTCTGCAAACGAACTACTATAATACTTTCTTCTCTTGTTTACAGCTTCACTGTTTTGACAACTGCTTGCGTTTCTAGTTTGTCATCTTCAAGAGTTTGAAGACACAAGGGTGAAACTGCTTGGAGATCTGTTTTGTAAAGAACACTGATAAACATTAAAGTCACAGAATTATAGTGTAGCTATATACCACTTTGTGTGATTGTGCTATTTCTCTTGTGTCTGGCCCTCTGGTTTGTAACCAACAAGAAGCACGTGGTCAGAGTAGTCAGTAGGAGAATAACCAGTGCTAGACTCAGTGCAACTGAAAGTCCAGTCATTACTCTGGATTTTGAAGCTGCATTATTATACCAAATTATGACCAATACTAATATCAAGAAATGGTGTTGTTACCACTCTCAGGCTTGGTGTTGCCACAGATTGGCCTGATTTCAAGCTTTTCATCTTGAAGGTGAAACATAGAAGGCCCTTCAGATCCATCCTCTTGTATTTCATGCACAGACAAACCAAATACCCCTGTTTGTTGCATCGTAAAGCATTTTAAAACTGGTAGCTACATAATCATTTGTTCCCCGAGAAATGTTGAAGACCAGCAGTGTGTGTTCATCAGAGTAGAGTTTCAGAGAACACCCTATTGCAGATGAGCCTCTGACAAAAACACAGGAGCAACATATTCCCCTAATTACTGGTTCAATAGCAGAGTAAAAACCTGCAAATATAAAAACAACTTTCAAACAAAGAGTCCACTAATGGCAAGGTCAAGTAAAGTGAAGATAGCTACACGGGTTTTTTGAAGTCCAACTGTTGTAACAATTGGATGCAACATGGTTGGTGCCACAGCTGTAATTTGTGAGATAGAATACTTAACTTAGCCAAATGAAGGTGCAGGGCTTTAAATTTAGAATTGATGCATGCATGCCAAAACGAATTTGACTACAACTTGGTCTATAATTCAAACCAGGCTGAGATGTGGGAGAGGGTGTCTTTGTTGGTGCAGACAAAACCGAGAATGTTCCTTCAGTGGTGGTACTCAGGAGTGTAGAGAGTGCATGAGATGTAGAGAGCTCCAGAACCAGAGCAAAGTAGGCGTAAAATACTGATTGCACATGTCACTGTCATTACAGCACCCAACAGCCTGAGTCTCTGAGACACGGCCACAGAATGTTGGATTCCAGGCTGTATTCACACAGCCTTCGTCTTGCTTGATGGATCCATCTTCACGTCGTGTTCTTCTGGTATAGCATGCACTGTGGGATGTGTCAATTGTGCAGGTCCATTCTTCCCACCGACAATCACTTAGTGGTGCTTGATCATTGCAACTACATCTCAGTGATGTGAAAGATAAATATATCTACATTCGTGCAGTGCAAAACATTTCAGTGGGTCGGTGAAAGAACACCAGGACAGCACTGGACAAATCAAAATGATTCTCAAACAGCTAAGCGAGAACCCTTATTTAACTAAGCCCTCAAAATATTTCTGTAGCAGTTAATAGGTGTAGTAGCTACATAAAGCAAGAAAGATATTAATTTATCACAATACGTCCACCACCATTAATTAACCCTCGGCGCGCATGCGCAGCGAGGGTTACGGTACTTTGGTCTGTAGCTGTGTGTGTGTGTGTGTCTGTCTGTCTGTTACTCGTCATCTCACTTCTCGAGTGTTCGTTCGTCTCACAAAGGGTACTACCTACTGAACGGGCAATGAAGGTTAGAAAATATGTGCGGTTTTCTCTGAAAACGCTCCGTTGCTAAGCTAGAGCTGGAAAAAGTCAATTTGCAAATACACAACGGCTTACTACGGCATGATCGATCCGCGTGCTCTGCGTACCTCGGGGGCACCAGAAGATGCAACGCAGGGCGTGTATCGCCTCTCGCATGCTATCTAGTAGTGTAGTTAGCTATCGTCAGACTCTGCGCGAGCTGGCAAGAGACCACGAGTAACAGCTAAAACTAAACCCAGCCCATCAATTAGTGGTACGGCGCATGCGTTTACTTACAGTGCGCCGAGGGTTGCACTTCAGTGCTTTTCATTAACCCTCGGCGCGCATGCGCAGCGAGGGTTACGGTAGTTGTCCCGTAAGTGTGTCCGTCAGTCCGTCTGTCCGTCTGTCCGTCTGTCCGTCTGTCCGTCTGTCCGTCTGTCCGTCTGTCTGTCTGTCTGTCTGTCTGTCCGTCTGTCTGTTACCACGTTTTCTGTCACCGCGCGCAGTAAATAGCGAAATGATCGGGTTCAGTGCTACACTGGGTTGATTTTTAAAAAGGCGATTTTCGTAAAACTACAGTGTTTTAATCAAAGAAGAATACCCATATTCACTGACTTTTCAGCCGTCATATCGAAAGTAACATCGACATCCTCTCACCTGTATAATATTATGCCAGAGTAGGAGAAGCAGGTGATTTATGGTCTGAGTTGGTACATGTTGGCTGCAGGCATGTGCACGCGAGGTCCGCAGTATAGCTACGTCGGATACAGCTTCGGGAGGCCCTTCGGAAACAGCCGAAACACGCCTTTCATGCCGCAAGGGAGCGACGACCACTACAACACAGAGTTCTCACGCAGGAGGCGGCCTAGCGTCTCGCTTCAAGAATAGGAGTGGAACGCTATATACACGTGCTACGGTAGTAGAGCCGTCTCGCTTCCAAAGCAGCCTATATAGGAGCGGGAAACACGTCTTTAAGGGAGGGTTACTGCTGGGGTATCTACTCAGAAGGCATCTGCCAGTTTTGAATTGTGTGCTTCTCCAGTCACTCCTTTTTTCGGCTGAATATCCAGGGCTAAGCTGCCCATCTGAAACAGTAGAGTGTATAATAATTATAATGTCCACAATACCAGACATCAAACTATCTGTATTACGATGCAAGAAGCCTTTTCCCAAAACTTGACCAACTGAGACTCGAATGTGTAAACAGAAAACAGATGTCATTAGTTGAAACATGGGTCGATGATACAATCTCTGATAGTGAACTACAATTACATGGTTAGCTACCAGTTGCACAGGCACGACAGAAACAGGCAAGGTGGTATATATTATCAATCGCTACCTAGCCTACAGCCATGCCAGCTGCCTGGTGAACCACGACAGACGAGCTGAAAGGCGTAAGGTAAGTACCCTTTTGCTCACCGTTCTAGAAATAGGCCTATACAGTACACATGTAACAGCGACTGGTATATAGCTCTGTCTTGCTTCACGAAAGCAAAGCTGTGTGCTGACAGCACGTTATGCAGCCCGCGGGCAAATCCCAAGTTGGGTCGCTCCTGCTCACTAACAATGTTCAACGTGCATTATTCTTGTACAAAAAACTGACACAGAGTGTATGCTATTTTAAGACTTGAAATGTTGTGTATTATGAAAGAATGACACGTAAAGTCCACGAAATTATAGAACACATTCTTCAACACTATCTAGTGTGACAAACTGTCCATTATTTCCACCCACTATGATGATCTTGTCGGGTGATGGACTGGCTGCTACACACCACCTCTTACCACTAGTCATAGAGCCAATCTCCACCCACTGTCCATCCACTAGTTGGTAAATGGAGTTGCCTTGTGACTCAGATTGACTGCCACCAATGAGTACTAGCTGTCCATAGAGAGTGGCAGCTGTTGACTGTTCCACTGGTAGAGGAGGGAGAGGTGTCCAGGATAGGATGAGAGGTGATGTGATTGGTTGATCACTGGATGGTAGGGCTGCAAGAGAACACGAGTAGCCATCGGCATTGTTTCCTATCACATTCAACTGATCACCACATATTGTGGCTGAAGGGATGGTGAGAGATTGTGGTAAGTCTGTAAGTTTGTACCATCTTCTGCTCTTCACTTGAAATAGTTCAACTGTAGCACTCCAACTGAAACCACCACCACACCCCCCAATCACAATGAGGTATTCGCCATCAGATGTAGTAACTACAACAGGAGAGGAATGTGCAGTGTTCATTGGAGGGTATTTCTTGACCCATTTCCTCAGTCGTAGTGTGTATAGTTTGTTAGTACAACGATATCCATCATCCTCTCCCCCCACAGCAGTAAGTTCCCTATCAATAATGACTAGTCCAGAGTGATGATATGGACATGAAGGAAGTTCCTCCCATTTCTCTGTACTACATTCATATTGGTAGACTGAATTGGAGTGACGTGGGGTGAAGTATGCAAATACACCATCAGTTGTTGCAGATCCTCTTATCATTCCACATGGTGCTGTCTTCCTACGATGACACTGCACAGTGAGCTGAGGGGAGATCACATGACGCTTAATGATATCACAATCATCAAATATGGATATGAAACAGCAAGCTATTTATGATCATACGAGATGGTGTCATGTAGTTTGGTGTGTCTTAGCTGTGTCATTACCCTTAGGTTAACCCTCGGCGCGCATGCGCAGCGAGGGTTACGGTAGTTGTCCCGTAAGTGTGTCTGTCCGTCTGTCAGTCTGTCTGTTACCACGTTTTCTGCCACCGCGCGCACGAAATCAGGTAAATAGCGATATGATCGGGTTCAGTGCTACACTGGGTTGATTTTAAAAAGGGCGATTTTCGTAAAACTACTGTGTTTTAAAGTTATGGCGTGAAAACCAAGTGAACAAGCCAATATGTAAATTAGCACAGGCTTACCTCGACCGCGTCCGTTCGCTCTGTGTGTCTTGAAGGCACAACACAAGTCACAACGAAGGGCATGTATCGACTCCCGCATGCTATTTACTACTGTAGCTAGCCCGTGCCAGACTCTCCACGAGCTACTAGCGGGATACCACGAGTAAAGGCATAAAAAGCCCAGCCCATCAATTAATTGTACCGCACATGCGCAGTTCGCCGAGGGTTTGCACTTTAGTGCTTTTCATTTTTTCCCTTTTCATGTTTGGAGCCAATCCCTATATGCATTTTAATTTTACCACTTTTTAGGGTAAGATAACCTCATCCGTTGATCCTAACATTATTCCGAAGACTAGCACAGCAACTCATTTTCATACCCACTTTACACCTTAGACATTGCTATATACATTGCTATATAGTGGATCTTACACAGCACGGATGGTGCATGGATAGACACACAATAACCTTCGTGCCATTCTCAACTAAAACCTGGGACCTGAAAATGGACTAAGCTGGTAAGATGTTCACCCGTAAAAGAGATCGAGAGGCCGATTGTGGAGAGTTGGCTCGAGATGAAATAGGGCCGGGTTCAGCCTCTCTGTATCTGTAGAAATAATGTATCTCCATCACTGAAAGAGCCTATCATTGACTTACACTGGCAGTTTTAACAGCTCAGTCATGAGTGGACCATCTCTCATTGGACAAGAGTTGACGTGATGGTGAAAGGCAGCCAGCTCTCCCTGCCAGCCACACCCCCTGTCCTCGTGGCGACAGAACACACGCAGCTAGTTCACTTGACGCTGGAAGCATTTATTCAACACTGTGCTCCAATCCCCCTCCTTGCACAGGGGACATGCCCCTCCCTCTCTCTGTATTCTGCTGGCAGCTTCCTCTGAGATATGATTACCACAGCATGATGTGAGGTGAGGTTGGAGCAGAAGACCCATTGTCACTGGACAGAAGAAGTCATCTGATGGCTCCTCAACAAATCGATAGTCCTCATTCACTGACGACACTTGGCCTGGCTCCTTGCTAAAAGATTTTTAAAATCTTTACCAAAGATGGACCAAAATGTTTCACTACCTTTTGTTGGCAGCATTAGACTTAGCAATTGCCAAGCTGCCACTGGTTGAGGATGGAGCCACCTGCATAGGGAAAAGACTGATGTCTGGCTCATAATGCATCGTAGGACCACACAATGCAAAGTCACAAAACATTTGTGAACATACTGTGACGCAAATCATTTCGCCTTTTGTGACGTGTGAAGCAAAATTGCAAGGACAGAAAATATTTTTTTTTATCTGCCCGTTGCAAAAATTCGTGTCACAGGCTCAAGCGAAGTAGCTACAATGTGAACCAAGCTCAAGACAATGACAGCCCACTTACTGGTCTCTGAGGATGGATTGGGTAGACACAAATCCGTGTTGAGGTGTGGATGTCTAGACTAGTGACACTGAACTCCTTGAAGACAGACAATGCTCCCTTCTTGCTCAACATCCCCACCACTGACACCGGTAGGAACCAAGTGACAGTGAAAGATCCAGTTCCAATGCTGTTCAACATCATGGCACATGTCTGAAGGTCGTTGTTGCTGGCGCATCGTCTCCTGAACCTCTCCACATTTTCCAGTGTTGCAGTCTCAGGCCAGTCAAACTTGACTACCATCTTCCTGAAGCCAGGTGGAGGATCTTCATCGAGTAGCCGAGGGTCAGCCTCACAGAACAGAACCAATGTCGTGCTTTTTTTAAACTTTTCCAGATCCTTCTTGTAGGCAGTCATCTCACTAGCAGTTGTGTTGAAATCCTGATGTTTCTTAGTCAGTTCTTGGATCAAGTGGTCGAGCAGATCAGGTGCGAGGTAGTTCCTGCAGTAGAAGTTGAGAGATCCAAACAGCTCAAGATGGTCTTCGCACTGGCGAAGAGCCTTGTGATTCTCTTTCAGAAATAGTCGATGCTCGTGTGTCCTAATGTTTGTGAGAATGTAGACTACTGTTAGGACGGCAACACAGATCTTCTGTAGGCCTTGGATTGTCAGATCCTTTAGAGCATTGAACCTCTCGTGAAGGCGTTTGATTTCAATCTCCACTGCTGTAACTATTAGCTACAGAGATAACTACAATGCAAGGTGGTGTGATTACTCTTACCAGTAGCAAGGTTGAGTTCAGTGGATGACTTTGATTTGACCTCATCATCATCACCAGCAGTAGTGTTGGCTGTAGGCTCTGTGGTGTCTGAGATGATACAGACTGAACCAGTCAGAGAACTACATAGTATGAGGTGAGCCAGTGCATGGTGACTTACCAGTAGTAGTCTCAGGTACCACATCACGTGTTGCGGTAGAATCAGGGAAATGAGCTGCTTTCACTCTCCTAGCCAGACCTGGTAAGTTGACTGAAGGACTCCTGAGAGCCTCTACAATGACCCTCCATGTCGGTCTGGGCTGGATTTGCTTCGTGAAGCCAAGAAGAATGTGCAGCAGACGGTCTAGGAGGTCCTGGTACTGGCGGTGAATCGCCTCCACCTCGTGTGACGGCAATAGCTTGAGCCCTAGCACGTAGGACTGGTTCTGCGCCTCCACAAGCTCGTCCAAAATTACCGAGACGTCGTCTGATTTCAACGTCTCGTCGACCGCTGGGGCTGCGCAAGCAACTAATATTATACAGCATATTCACCCTCTGTAATTGCCCACCTTCCGCCATCTATAAGAGCAGTAGTTTGCCGTGGAGAGAAAAGCTGATCAGATAGGTTCTGTCGGCCAGGTTGTGTACATTTACCTTGCATCCTAGTCCAGTCCCTATTATACGCATGCGCTAGAGTAAAAACGCACGCGCGCGCAGCGCTCACATCACGTATATACATCATACGCAAACAGTATATACAACAAAGGCAACTGTAAACATGGTAATACGAAGTATGGTGCATAAGTTACTATGACTACATAATATGTGAGGCGTTTCAGTAATATACGATGTGTTGTAGATTGTGACGTTGATAGCAAGGTTTCCATTGTCTCCGAAATGTGATGCCATTGCAGTCTCCGAAACGGTAAATAGTGTAAACTTACATCTAAAGAACTGAAAGGTAGTTTTAGTGAATGTATATACCTTCGTGACTTTGCTTCCCATGTTAGCTTTCTGCCATGACCCACCAGCTCCAACTTGTATCTAGTGAGTTAAGAAAACAACAGAGGAAGAAAGGGTGTAAGTAAGGAGAGAAAAGAGAAAGAGAAAGTAATATTCAATTGCAACTTTGCACCTCTACACACAAACCAACACACCTGAAAGCGTTGGCCTCTTTCTCCGTCCCTATCAACTGAACGACGGTGAAGAACTGCTGGTGTCCCTCGTGTCTCTCCTGGTTTCTCCAGAACCAACATGAAGTAGTGGTCGAAACAACATTGCATCATCACCCAGTCGACGGCCCCTGGCAGGTGTATACCTGTCGCCAAGAACACTATGTCTTCTCCGCCAAGTGTTGTAATGGTCTTGTGAGTGGTGAGTAAGATGTTAAGAACGTTGTCTAGTGGACCTTCCCACTTGCAAGATGTGCCCGGGCAAGGACAGGTGTACGGGCGACGTTCACAGTTTGTGTATGTAATACAGGGAGTGAGGTGGAGGATAAGGTGATGACAGTACTGAGAGAGAGAATACCTCTGGCTACCATCCAGCCTCTCATTCACTCCAGGTACAAAGTTCTATAATCTGCCAGCTCTTCTACATTCACATGGAATGTACATAACACATTTTAGGAACTTGAATGTTCTATGACCATAATAGCTATAATAATTATTATGGCAGTAGGGTGTAGGTGTAAGAGTTAGAGGAATAGCTATCCAGTGTTTTACCCTGTTTCCCGACAATGCGCGTATGCTGCTTTTACAACATGTTTGACTATATGCTGTGGGAATTTTTCATACACATCTGATGTGTGAGAGCCAACTATAGTAAGCACCCATGTATATATTCCCAGCTGGCAATAAAATTTCTCCTGCTGCTCTTAACCCGTGTGCCGTTTTTGCATTATGTAAGTTTGTAACACATTATTATTGATTGTGTGGGAGCAACATGGTAGCTAGCTCCAGTGTTCTCCCAGACAGCCTGGACTGGACTCAAGACCTGCGGTGTTTCGAGTGGTCCAGAGACTGAATGACATCACATACGATGACCCCACCCACACCGACCAACAGGTCTGACCTCTCCATCTCTCCCCTACTTCACACTTACTCTGTAAAAAACATTTGTGGGCGGGCTATATATATACTCAGGGGTAAGCAGTATTATGAACCATATATGCCAGATTTCTCCCATGTGTTTCTGGTGAGATTACTGAGTGTTGGGTGACATAATACTGTTTTGTGTGTCAGATGTACTTGTGTGGGTCGCTGGCTCACAAGATGATGAAAAGGTGGATGCATGGACATCCACTTCCAGAGACCCTTCTTGAGCTCTTCATTGATACCATCTTCTATGGAGCCGTGAGTTTTCTCTCTCTCTCTCTCTGTTGTGGCATATCTTCCAACCTTAAGTGCTCCAATTGTTTTCTGTTTGGGCCATTACACATTGACTAGTGACTCATTTTCCCTACGAAACTTTCCCCCTCTGGTAAAGGCAAGCTGCTGCATACTGTCTCACTATGCTGAGTCAGTATCTTGGCCACATAATTTTAAGAGGTCGAACAGAGCAGCACTCTTCTCAGTAAGTTGTGTGTTACGATTCGAAGTTGATTCTGCATGGGTGTTGCTCTTCTGCGTGACACTCAGACTATGTCCTAGTTCCGTTTTTACTCCATTTTTCACGAATTATGGGCTTAAGGGAGGCTGTTATGATGTTGTTGCTAGAAATGCATAAGCAATTCTCCATGTGTGCGTATATGAATGTGACTGGGGATGTTGCCTGTTTTGCCAGTCAAGGAATCTTATTCTTCATTATTGTAATTTTGTTTCTGTACAGTGGGGGATGAGTAAAGTAAGAACACATAATTTAATGTGTGTGAAATATTTTACTTTTTTCACGCTCGCTCACCAAAATGCGCGCCATTCGTTCTATTATTAGCATCTGAGCTTTATATGTAATTTTGCTTTTGTACAATTGGTCATGAGAAAAAAATAAAACTACTAGCTAAAGAGCGGAGTTTGACACAACTTAACACAACTTAGACTATTTCAATAATTGGCTCACTTGTAGCTGTCTTTCCATCATATGCTAATCTTCGAATGTGAAATTTGCGTTCCCAACTTCCTTGACTATAAATTATTGCGTCATTATGGTGGGCAATTACAATCGGGCAGCAGATTGGCGTGCAATGCTGACAAGAATTTTGATAGAAGTACCTGAGGATTAACTGGTTTTCTTGGTAATGCAGACACAATATGCGACCTCCATTTGAATGATCTCTCTCTGTCACATATAAGTATTGGTTATCAGAACATATTCCTTTGAGTGCGATTTCAGGTTTGAACCGTTCTGTAGTAAGACCAGTCTTCATTTCTTGGCATATTTTCACTCTAAATTTCATATTGTCAATATCTAAATCCAGGATTCCAATAGCCGCTATAGCGGTAACGAAATACGTGTCATTAAGCTTCTCAAAGCTTTCTCTGTCCCTGCAGGTGACGTCCTGGAGCCAGCTGCCACTTGCAGTGTGTTGTACCACAGCTAGCCTTTTGCCTACGTAGCCTACAAAGCTAGCCTAGCTATTCTACGAACAGCTGCACGCTTTTTTCAGTGCGTTGTCATCACAAGCAGCACACACACGCAGCACACACACGCAGCAGACCCTCGGCGCGCATGCGCAGCGAGGGTTACTGTAGTTAGTTGTCGTGTGTGTCATTCATTAACCCTCGGCGCGCATGCGCAGCGAGGGTACTGTAGTTGGGTTTGTCTGTGTGTCTGTTACTCTCAATCTCACTTCACGGGTGTTTGTTCGTCTCTCAAAGGATACGACCTACGTAACGGGAAATGAAGGTCAGAAAATAAAGGCGGTTTTCTCTGAAAACGCTCCGTTGCAAAGCTAGAGCGCATCCGGCATTGTACAGCTAATGCCGGTAGACGCCATTTTATCGCTCCGGAAAATGCGCATGCGCTTATATTCAGCACAGGCTTACCTCGACCGGGTCCGCTTGCTCTGTGTATCTTGAAGGCACAATAAGGCACAAATAATGGCGTGTATCGACTCTCGCATGCTATCTATTGCTGTAGCTAGCCCGTGTCAGACTCTCTGCGAGCTACTAGCGGGAGACCGCGAGTAAACCCACACTAATAGCCCAGCCCATATTAGCGGTACCGCGCATATGCAGTTCGCCGAGGGTTTGCACTTTAGTGCTTTTCATTACCCTCGGCGCGCATGCGCAGCGAGGGTACTGTAGTTGGGTTTGTCTGTCTGTCTGTCTGTTACTCTCAATCTCACTTCTCGAATGTCTGTTCGTCTCACAAACGATACAACCTACTTAACCGGCAATGAAGGTCAGAAATTTCGAACGGTTTTCTCTGAAAATGCTCCGTTGCTAAGCTAGAGCGCTTCCAGCATTGTATGGCAAATGCCTGTAGTCGCCATTTTACCGCTGGCGGCCTAATGCGCATGCGCTTATATTTAGCACAGGACCGGGTCCGCTTGCTCTGTCTATCTTGAAGGCACAAGAAGTCACAACGAGTGTCGTGTATCGACTATCGCGTGCTATCTACAACTGTAGCTAGCCCGCGTCAGACTCTCTGCGAGCTACTTCGCCGAGGGTTTGCACTTTAGTGCTTTTCATTGGGTCTGTCCTTCCGTGTGTCTGTCTGTTACTCTACATCTCACCTCTCGAATGTCTGTTCGTCCCAGAAACGATACCATCTACCCAACGGGCGACGAAGGTCAGAAAATATGTGGTGTTTTCACTGAAAATGCTCCGTTGCAGAGCTAGAGCGCGAAAAAGCCAATATGCAAATACGCAACGGACGGGAAGGCTTACCGCGGTCTGATCGGTCCGCGTGCTCTGCGTACCTCCAAGGCACCAGAAGATGCAACGCAGGGCGTGTATCGCCTCTCGCATGCTATCTAGTAGTGTAGTTAGCCCGCGTCAGACTCTGCGCGAGCTGGCAAGAGACCACGAGTAACAGCTAAAGCTAAACCCAGCCCATCGATTAGTGATACAGCGCATGCGTTTTCTAACGCGTGCGCGTCACAATGCGCCGAGGGTTTGCACTTCAGTGCTTTTCATTGGGTTTGTCTGTTCATCCCACAAACGATACATCTACCCAACGGGCGACGAAGGTCATAAAATAAAGGCGGTTTTCTCTGAAAATGCTCCGTTGCAAAGCTAGAGCGCTTCCACCATTGTATGGCTAATGCCGGTAGTCGCCATTTTATCGGTGGTGGATAATGCGCATGCAGAAAAGGATAGGAGCTAAGCATATCCTTGGGTGTTCATCTAGGACATGTAATGAAGCCGTTAGGGAGGATATGGGGCTTGATATGTTACAAGGGCATAGGGATAAGAATAAATTGAAGTGGTGGTAGCTATAAGTTAGCAGCATTGCCAGGCAATAGGTATCTGAAGAAGCTTTTTAACCAGGAATGGAATTCTAAGCCACGGAGAGGCAGGCAGAGGAAGTGTTGGAGTAAGGTCATTGATGATCTCTTTTCGTGATTAGGTCTTGGCAAGGCAGAGTGGTTGCATGATATTAAAAAATGGGATTGCCCCTAGAAGGCCTTTCTGTTATAGTGTGTTGTGGGAGTGTCTAGCATATAGTAGTCTTAGGAGCGATTTCTTAGTTGTCCTGCAGGGGAAGCTTGGGGATGATGGGTTTGAGCATTTCCAGTCGCTTGATAGTTTCAGGAAAGCATCCTTTATATATATTGGGTAGTTAGCTGTGGGAGGATAAATTCGGTTCTTTGCTTGGCCTTGTTAAAGATTTTATTTTGGATGTTTGGGTGCTAAGAAAGGTTACGTTATAATAATTATGGCGATAATCCCAGCGTACAACAGACCCAGTCTCAGATTGCGTCTGGGGAGCTACAGGGTGTCGCTGATGGAAGGGGTGAGTTTAGGTGCCTGGGAGGTGAGAGACACCTCATGTTCATATGGTGTATGTTCGTTTGTTAACGGTTCCGCCCATTGCTCTTGGTGGTCTATCACCCTAGTGCTATGGTGAGTATTATCTCTCTCAATCCAATGAAGTTCAAGTTCATGGTTGTAACACGGAAGAGGAACTCAATGAACCCACCAACTCTGACTCTTGGCTCCCATGCCATTTCTCATGTCTACCAGTATATCTACCTAGGTGTCATTATATCAGCTGATCTCTCCTGGGGTGAGCACATTCGTGCCCTGTGTACAAAAGTTAACACTGGGTCTCATGTATAGAACCTTTTATGCCAACGCATCTCCATCTACCTTTTTAAAACTGTATGTTTCCCTCATTCGCCCATCTTTGGAGTACGCCTACTAGGTGTGGGACTCTAAGGATGTTGAGAAACTTGAGAAAGTGCAGAAGTTTGCTCTACGTCTCTGTTTTAAACAATGGAATCTTGATTATCCGTCTCTTCTTTTTATTTCTGACCTCCCAACACTTCCCACGTGGCGGAAATACTTTAACCTCTGCACAATGTTCAACATTGTCAACCAGCTGTTACACTTCCCTCAAGTAATCTTTATCCTTAGAACCACTCCTTTACACTCGTCAAATCACTTATACTGTCAGCCTTTCTGTCGGACTAACTCGTACCTTAACTCATTTGTACCAAAGACCTGCTCAGATTGGAACTCACTCCCTCTTTCTATACGATCATCTGATTGCATCTCCTCCTTCAAGTCTTCTTTGAGAGAGTGGTTGAATATGTAAATTCTCAGTATACAGTCATGCACCATGTACTAGCTTATTGCTATTTGTGTATGATTCATAAAATATAAGGTGAATTGGTCCCCTTCCCTTATAGTGTTTGTAACTCGTGGGTGCATCACCTAAACTGGTTGTTTTCATGGTCAAGGACGGAAGTAGTCAGAAGTCTACATGATGGCCCAATTTCCACATATACTCAGCAACAGCAGACACGTCACATTATGCATGCTTCACTTCTACCTTGTACTCGTTGAGACGGGTTTTTAAGAGGCAGCCTGTCAGGCAAAGAGGCCTTAGAGCATGTTCTTCAAGGAATGCAGTAAACAGTTTTGTACTGTTTATAGCATTCCCAGTAAGCTAACTGCAAGCACACATGAAGCATAATTGTAAAGCCCATAAAATATTTTCAGATCTATGAGCATTTAAACACAAAATGACATTCACAGATCTTGCTGAAGACCCGATAGTTGAGAAAAGAATTGCCTGCAGACGATGCCGTAATTTACTCCTAGTTGAGGTTCTCCTTAACCAATACAAGCAAAGGTAGAGCTCACTTCGTGGCATTAAACTCGGCAAACAGTAACCTCTTTCACAAGTCTCTAAGATAAAACTAACAATGGTTCTGTGTCTAGATCAATGACACACAGAAATGACAACTAATCATGGGCACAACGTCGTGAGTGATTAATGTGCCTCCTGCTGAATATCTCCAAAGGCAACAACATCAACTAGGTAAAAGATGGTGATGAAGAAAAGGAAGAAAGGAGGAAGCTTGTATAGAGGTCTCTGCTCTAGAGCCGAGAAATATGAATCCTTCGTGTGCTCATCCTAGGCGTGAACGTTCAATGGTGTGTAGTGTGTCGCTGAACACGCGAGCGCGTTCTACGGTATTAGTTTGACAAAAATGTTGTTGGTTAATTGGCGAGCCTACCTTGTCGTCTCAATGGGGGGGGGATTTGCCATTTTCTATCCGGCGATAACTACGCACTTCTACAAAAACGCGGGACTGACCGCCAGTAATGCTATAGCTATATGCGCAAATCGCGAGGGAATAATTTGCTCGCACCTACCTGCTCGCGCTCGCTAGCCCAACAGGCGTACCTCTAGCAGTTAAATAATTTTAGAAGGCCGACCCCACAGCACTATTTCGGATGTCGATTGTGCCGCCCGACATCGGTGTCGGCCCGCACTGTTTTCGAAGTTGGCCCAAACCGCCCAGAGAAGAAGACGACAGTACTCAATTTTTCAGTGGATTGAGTTTTTGACGAAGATGGTCATAATTAGACGGTTAACTGAACGTAACAGCCTGAACGGCTCCCAGGATTTCTACAAGTGACATAACCGTGTCTAATTTAGCTCTGATGATATCAGCGGGGCAAAACATGCGCATGCGCACGGCGTTGCACGTCATTTGCTGAAGTGCGCGTTCCTGCTGCTGGGTTGCTGTCGCAACTGAGCAAGTGAAGATGTTAGCGGAAACCGCTCCCTTTTGGATTTTAGCTGTTATTTGGTTTGATGGTGGGCTGTGTGATTGCCACTGCGATTACTTTCGTTACTTCTCATGTAAGTGTAGATATTTTTTTACTTCTAAGAGGTATTAATGCCACCATGGATATATACAGGGAATTTAGGTTCCTCAATCAACATCTCACTCAACGGTTCAACTACTCTCTATATGGCAACATGTATCGATATTTATGACTGTCAAGAAGCTGAGGTTCTTTGGGTGATTGTCAAACCTAATGGCGAGTATGAAATGTACACTGTAGTCAACTATAGTGACTATCCCCATGGAAGACATGAGAGTATTACAGAGAGAGGACTATCATTTGGGGGGTATATTGAGTGTGATCTCCGACTGACAATAACTCCAACTGATCTGAGGTACAATGGAGCTAAAATCACAGGAATTGTGCGTCTTCCTGAGTGTTTTAACACTTCCAACACTACCAATACCACAACCCTTAGAATACAAGGTGAATTCTGTTATAGCTACCTTTTCATCTGCAGCTAAACCTATATATACACCTTATAGGTCTCCTAAAAGCTCCCACTGATGTAAGTGTTGAAGCAGATGGAGAATACAGCATTAATGTGTCATGGAGTCCTCCATTCACCCT